GTCTCCGTGGTCATGTGACCGGCATGACTAAATGCCAAAGGCGCACGGAACACTGTTACCTTCCCACCAAAGGTGGTCCCTATTTTTCTACTTGCATTTTTAATGTGCTTTTGAACTGCTAGGTTGGCAGAAGCTGGGACAAGTAACGGGAGCTCACCCCATTACGCGGCACTAGGGATTTGAACCGCTGGGCTGCCGACCTTTCGATCGACAAGCTCAGCGTCTTAGCAATTGAGCCACCACATCCCTATGTGCACATCTAGGCCTGCACAAAACCATGTCGACCACTGTATTTTGAATCAGTTGAAGTTTCTGGATATGTTTCAAGGGCAGCCACATGTAGAACACATTGCAATAGTCGATATAGGAGAAGACTAGGACTTGAGTGAACACTACATGTTATCCACAATTGCACAAAGGTCTTCCTGGCTACAAGTGCCATCATATGTCTATACATTTCCATACATATCTCCATACATTCCCACATTTCTGTGTCTCTTTTCAAAAACACCCACCAAGGTTCAAAATCGTTTTTGTCAGTCAGCAATTTAATTTTGTTTTTCTACATATGACCACAGGGATGATTTAATGTCTATATCTCAACTTCCTTTTCTTTCTAGTGTGATGAGTTGAGGAATGCTGGGCTTTTCAAAATAGGTTGCCACTGAAGAGTTTTGAGATTTCAAACAAGGTGCACAATTAATTTCTGGAATTTGCTGCAACAAGATGGAGTATTAACATAGGCCATTTTCAGAGATTCCAGGCACATTTTACACATTCCAGAGGCAGGAACAAATTAATATTTATGGAGCGTGTAGAAGCCATACCCCATTGGAACCATTGTACTCATTAATTTAGTATTAACTGTTCAGAGCAGCATTTCTGATTGTTTTAGACTAAAGAGATGCACCCATGAAATACCTAGATAAGATCTGGAGCTAAACAAGCTGTCGTTCCAAGCTACTATTACATTATATTATTTATCTTTTTATATTAATTAATGTGTACTTTTTTTGCTGAAAATCATATAGTATGCAAAAGATATTCACTTGCAAAGTAAATAATAAAGTTTGGAAAATAACTGTTAGTTATAATGGACATTATTATAGTCAACAATTGCAGAATGCAAAAAGTATCAATTTTTTTCACTTTTCAAATAATTAATCATTCTTTGAAAGAACTTAGCCAAAGATGCATTTGGAATGAAGTGCATTTAGACATGTTGGCATGTCTGTGAGATTTAGAGATTTTTATTTTTTTAAAAAAAAAATCTATTTCCTACAAAAACATGACTCTTAATCCACTTGATTTTTTCCCCTCTTTAATAGAAGATATTGCTTGAAACAGAATCTCCTTCACAGGGGAAATCTATTAAAATCTATTATGATTGGGGATGAAAAGGGTAAAAAACTTCAAGTTAAAATTACAACTTTGGAGAGAAAATAAACATCGCCAAGTATGTAGATATAGTTGCTTGGTTTCTAAAGAAGACTTGAGGTTTAACAAGTATAATAAATATCTGGTTTAATGAAAACTATTAGCACTGTAACATGCCGATCAGGTTTTGTGTGTTTGTGTGTCTACATGTGTGTGTATAAAGTAACATTTCAATGAACAGCCAAGTTACATTGTACCAGTGGGCATCAGGCATTTAATTGTATCCAGATTTCTTGTCAGTAACTCAGATCTGGATAAGATCGGTTTGAGTTATTTGTTTAACCTATTTTACGTTCCAAAGTATTGAGAGAGAGTGAGAGTGGGAGAGAGAGAGAGAGAGAGCGAGAGAGAAATAGAGAGGAAACAAAACCCTATGTGGATTTGAAGAAACCAAAAAAACCAGAAAATGTTGATTTGAGAATGTTCAGAAACAAAAATTACTTCTTTTAAACATTATAACAAGAATTGTTTTTCCAATGTGGATGTGTTCAAAGAGGTTTTAAAGGAACAAGAACCCCAGGAGAAAATTATCCTTTATTCTTCTCCTTTAAAAAAAAAATAGCACATGTATACTGGTTAAGACTAAAAATTGGGTATGTAATCACACATGTCAAAGAAAATCCAATAAGTGCAAATTTATGGCATGACTATATCCAGTGATGATAAGAACTGACCAGCCACAATACTGTCTTTATGAGTCCAGGAAATTTTATTAAGATAAGTATATGAATGCATAACATAGAAAAACAGAAGGAAAGGAAGAAAAATATTCTTGATTAAGAATCAGCTAATTGTAAGGCTCTTCTCCTGGAGCCTGTCAGTCAACTCTCCTTATGACACCTTCAGCACACCCCTCCTGCTAGACAGTTACAAACAATTTGACAGAAACAGTCCCATAAATAAATTGGCCCTACGCCTTGAAGGCTTTTAAAGGTATTTCTTGGCTTTGAGTTGGCCTTGAATTGTGCAATAATTGCACCTGGAAGCACACCAGAAGACAATGCAGCTCATGGTTCAATAACATCACATAAGCACAATAACCAGTGCAATTAACTGCCCATGCCACCTCATTCTGCACCAGCTGAAGCTTCTGAGTGATCTTCAAGGAGAGCCCTATGTAGAATGCATTGCAGTAGCCCAATCTAAAAGTCATAAGGCATGAATGATCATAATAGGAGCCCCTGATCCTAGAATGGTCTATGTTATCAATCAATATATAAGGAATATCCATGGTGTGTTTTCTGGGACATGAATGTTATGCGGATAATATTGTGTTATGATCTGAGAACATGAATGATTTGAGGCAAATGTCCTATAGATTGTGTAATGTAACAGCAGCCTGAATCTGAAAATTAATGTTTCAAAGATCAGGTACCATAAGCCCTCAATGTATGACTACACCTGGGACTGGATTTTTGGTCATACGTCACTGCATTTCTAAGTTGAGTTACCCATGTGAGCAGACCAGTGGTGGGTTCCTCCCAGTTTGGCCCAGTTCGGCCGAGCCGGTAGCGGTGACGATATGACGTCACTGAACCGGTTCTCTTTGTTCGGGAGCTGGGCCCTCCCGCCCACCCCCATGTTATTCCTACCTTTTATTTCTTCTTTTTTAGCCCAGCAGATAGGTGCAGCAGAGTGGATTGCTGCACCTCAGCTGGGCAGATTTGTAACACGCTTGTGCGGAGAGATTGGCGATCGCACGCGAAGCACGTTTACAAAGAGAACCAGTAGTAAAGCCGGTTAGAACCCACCACTGGAGCAGACCCAATTTCCCCCACCATTTTTACGGCAGTTGTTAAGCAAATGACACAGTCATAAGTCCAAATCATATGATTGCTAAGTTAATCACATGGTCATTAAGCAAATTCATTCTCCCAAATGGGTATATTGTGGCAGAAACTGCAATACACACACACACACACACACACACACACAGACAAAAACCTTTGCAAATCACAATCATGTGAACATGCAACGTTGCAATCAGACATAAATGCGTACTGAACGCCAAGCATCTGAAATCTGGTCATGTAACCATTGAAGGCATGCACAATATTTTATGGTGTCCAAAAGTGGTTTACAGACTGTAAAGCGCCATTCCCAAGACCGTTGTAATTTTGAAAGTTTGTTAAATGACCAAAGTTTGTTAAATGATAAATCAAGGATTACTGCAGCTACTATATCCTTGATAGAGAAAATGGAGTGAGTAATTGCAATTCCCACTTGGCTGTTTAATATAAATTTATGATGAAATGTGTAGGGAATTCATGTAGTAGTAGTAGAGATACAGTATTGGTTGGAAACATAAATATATATATATATATGTACTTACTTGACAATCATATCAAGTATTTAGATGAGAAATAGAGTGAAGGCAAATGTTATATTGATTGTGAGCTGCAACAAGGAGTATAAAACTAGAGCAAATGAATGAATGTATGTATTTTGTATAGATGATTACTTAAGATGGAAAAACTGAAAAATTTTAAGGTTTGCAAATTCTGATAGTGGCTGGCTAGCGAGTAGTGTACAATGTTTTGACAGGAATGGATATTTGATAAAAGATATAAAATATTTTACAATACAAAGTTATTGTATATAAGAACATGTTTCTGCCTACTTTGTTATACATTTGGAGAAACAAAATAAGTGAAGCACATCCCAGTTCAGTTCCCATGTAATCTGTAGTTTGAACTAAACTACCACTGATTACTCTGACATCTCTAGCTTTTACTTGAGACCCCTCCCTCCTCTTTTTCATATCCCTCCAGCTGTTTTCACCTCTGCTTTCACTTTTCCTATTATATTGCAAACCCTCAGACAGGTAAAAAAAAAAAAAAGGTCCTTTCTTTTTATAAAAGGCAGAGCAGCTTCACAAATGCAATGGCAATAACCAACAGGGCAACTGCAGGCATTTGCCCCTTCTGCATATAAAGCGTAAGTGGAAATATAATCCTTTATATATCAAGCAGATTCTGCACTTAAAGCTGTAGAGAGAGAGAAGAGGGGAGGGTGTCAGATTTTAATCATTCTACTTTGTGTTAAAAATACATATAAAAATACATACCCCATATCTCGGCATAGGACAAGCAAGTCTTTCGAATAGCGACTGCTCTTTCTCCTGAAATAACCATTTTGGCTGAAATGGGTCCATAGCAGGGGTGGGCTTCAAAAATTTTAGCAAGGGGTTCTCTGCCCAGTTGCTGGGTGGGCGTGGCATAGTCAACCTCCTGCACCACGGCGGGGGAGGGGGTGTTTTTGCTCTCCCCGGGCTCTAGAGGCTTTCTTTGAACCTCCGGGACGGTGAAAACAGCTTCCCCAGGCTCCGTTTCCGGCCTTCGTGCACACCCTGCACTTATCTGCATCCAAAACAGGCCACATGGGGACTCCTGGGAGGGGTGGGTGGGGTGTGGCCAGCCAGGAGTGGGATTTGAGGGTTCTCTGAACTGCACAGAATCTTAGCTAGAAGTTCTCCCGAACCCCTGCGAACCCCCACCCCTGATCCCTAGGCTATTTTGCCTCCATTCCCAAACCTTTAGTACGTTCCTTTGTTTACACTGCAGGTCCCAAAGTTTAGTAGTGCATGCTGGTCATACAAAGGACATCCATGCAGACAGAAAAGGAGAAGGGGAGAATGAAAATGTTACAGCCAGCATCTCTTTCACTGATCTGTATTTGAGCCAAGAAACCGACAAATTGCCTTCCAGTGCAATCTCTGAAGAGTCCCAGCTGGAGCAATCCTCACATTCACGCCCAAGTATCAAATGTTCAGAACCAGAGAATCTGCCAGAACCTGTTAAAGAAAGCTGCCACGAAGAGAACCCAAAGATCATAAAGAACCCCATGGAGTATCAAGATAAGCTTTACTTTCACTTAAAAGAAAATCTCTCTAAAGTGAAAGCATATGTCATGGAGATGGGGAAGAAAATTCCATTCCCAGACGAGTGTCTTATAGAAGGTAAGTGATCTCAAATTTTGAAAAGAAAAAGAAAAACAAACCTGGTGTATTTTTTTAAAAAAGTATCTTAAGAGATTCATCCAAGCCACTAACCAGCCCCCTCTAAGCATCAACATTTTAAACTTGTTGAAACATGTTTTTACATATTGATCCCAGGATAATAAGTAGTTTCCACACTTCAGTGTCCTTAGCCTTATGGGCCGATTGACATATTACATTTACCTGAGGTCTACCATCAATTTCTTAGAATGTTCTGAATGGAGTATTCTGAATATCCTGGGGGCATCTGTGCATTAAACTAGGGCTGGGAATTTTTTTTTAAAAAAAAGGCATCACCCGACTTTTGTCTCTTTGCCCAGCAAAGTTCTATGCCAGCTTTCTACTTTATTCAAAAATTTGCAAGACTGGTTTGATGAGACTCTGCATGAAACACAAAAGAAACATGAGTGGGCTTTAAATTAAACTTCTAAGACTGGTGCTCTCCAAATGCACTGTTCTACAACTTCCATGGTTTCTAGCCATTGTGGTGACAGAGTATACCAACTGGAGAGTATTTTACTTACTTATTTATTTTTATTTATTTTTGTGCTTTTCCATCATGTACTACAAAGCACTCTCTCCTTTCATTTTCCCCAATATTAAAATCCTGGGAGATCATTTGAGCTGGGAGAGAGTGACTGCCCCAAATCAGCCAGGGCTTATATAGCAGAGGATAGAATAGAAATGGGGAGACCCAAGATCTAGGCCACATCTGAACAACTACAACTGGTGTGGTCTAATATACCTGGTATGCAACAGGTTAAAGAAGATTTATGGGATATGGTGGCTCAATGGCTAAGACGCTGACCTTGTCGATCAAAAGGTCAGCAACTCAGCGGTTCAAATCCCTAGTGCTGTGTATCGGGGTAAGCTCCCGTTACTTGGTCCAGCTTCTGCCAACCTAGCAGTTCGAAAGCACGTAAAAAATGCAAGTAGAAAAATAGGGACCACCTTTGATGGGAAGGTAACAGCGTTCCATGTGCCTTTGGTGTTTAGTTGCAGCCACATGACCAAGGAGATGTTTGGACAGCACTGGTTCTTTGGCTTTGAAACGGAGATGAGCACCGCCCCCTAGAGTCAGGAACAGCTAGAACATTTGTGCGAGGGGAACCTTTACCTTTACCTAAAGAAGGTTTATTTTATGTATGTTTATTTATCTAATTTAGACACTGCTCATCTCATTACCTAAGTGATTCTGGGAGGTTTACTGAAGAAAACATAAAAGATAAAAAAGACATAATTAAAATCTGAGTTTAAAACAATAAGAAACTAAAACAGATATAAAAATGTTGATTAAAGATGGAAGGAGCACTCTCAGCACACCAACTACCCCCAGGGTTACATGCTATTCTTCAATCCCAACTCTCTGAGTTGGCAGTCGCATCTTCACACCCATCCAGGCCAGGAGGGTAGGAATCAACCTCACCTCTGGGGGTAAGATATTCCATGTGGCAGAGAAAGCTCTCATTCTGGACCCTGAAAGTCAAAGGCCTTTAACTTACAGGGGCCATAACATATCTTCTCTGCCTGCCTGGGTGGGGTAGATTGATAAAATTGGGACAAGATGGTTTCTCAGGCAACCTGGTCCCATGCCATGAAGGGCTCTAAAGGTTATAACCAACATGTTGAATTGGACCTGGAATCAAACAGCTCACAAAGTAGAGGTGTGACATAGAGTACACAGTCCTTGGGACACCAAAATTGCTTCCCCAGCTGCATTCTGCACCAGCTGCAGCTTCCAGATACTCTTCAAGAATAGCCTCACATAGAGCGCATTGCAGTAATTCATTGCTGCACTTGCACACTTTCTCGGGTTCAACAAGATCAAATTTAACTTGGGTCACTTATGCTCACCGCTCATCAAGGCTCTGGCCACTTACCTGCTCCAGCTGTTTTTTCTGGCTACTTGTCACTTGTCTGGCTGTTTGCCCAGGTTCATTCCAACTACTTAAGCAGGCAGCTTGCATGGAAGAATCTGCCTGGGCGGCGTGACTAGTTGCTTCTCTGGGCAGTTCCAGTCACCAATTTGGGACTACTTGACTGCCCACCCTTTGCCACCTGAATACTGCGCACCTCCTCCCCTCTGTCTCCTGCTGGTTGCCTGGGAGGTTTCAGCTCCAGTGTGGGCCTGTCCATTCACAACTGTTTGCTTCTCACTAACCACTAGGCTGTGTTTTAGGTCTTCAAGGAAGCCACCAAATGCCTCTCGGTTGCTCTGGCCACTAATAGGGCCTCTGGCTGTTCAGCTGCTGGTCATTTATCTGAAAGGCTCTAATTACCAATGATGGTCTGTTTGCCTGTTGTCCACTCACCACTCACTTGCCACACAACTGTTGTTTGTCCCTTTAAAGAAGCTGCAGCTTGACACAGTCACACAATCACTCTGACTATTTCCTATCATTGCCATTCCATGAACTGGTCAGCAAACCCACAAGGCTCCACAAGTCCAAAAGAGCTAGGCAAGGCTGAGAGACCACAAAGCCCCAGGTAAGAGCACTGCAAATCTGGAGAAGCCCCCCTCATCAACTCTACAGCCATTCCTAGAAACACTGCAACAGTGGTCTGTAGAGATTCTCAGTCATCCAGGTCATAGTTGTCCCAAAGGTTTTTTTTCCAGGAGGCAACTGGACTTGTTTTTTCTTTTGAAGACGTTTCACTTCTTGGATGAGAAGCAAAATGTCTTCAAAAGAAAAAACAAGAAAGTCCAGTTGCCTCCTGAAAAAGCACCTTGGGACACTGCAACAGTGTAAAACGCATCCAGTCCCATCTGCCAACTTGATATCCTGAGTTGGTTTTGTCTAGGAGAAGGAAAGACTCTCTGCAACTACTTTCCAACCTGTCTCCAGCTTCTGAACAACTTTATATAAATATTTAAAATACATAAAACTGTACGCATTTTGGCTTTACAAAGGATCCTTTGTTGGCAGGATATCAGCAGAAAAAAAGTGATTATTAATTAGTGGTTTCATACATATTTTCCTTGCAGTAGCCTAATGTGAAAATATAATGGAAGAAAAAGAATGTCTGGACCCCAAAATGATGTTTTCATTATTACTGGCAGCTAAGTGTGAAACCTGCTGAGATGTAAAGAATCAGAAGATGAACCCCGTTTCTCAGAGTTATTTTGTAGGTCAGGCTCTGAGTGGGATAACTGTATATTTTAATGGAGGGATATATATATCCCTCCATTAAATCTCAATCTCAAATACCTTTCTTTTTCCTAGTATTAGCATGGCCATTCAGTGGTGAGCCACTATAAGAAAAGACTGCTTGGCTATGCTGTGGTCCGCCAGCAGCCTGAGGAGCTGGCAGCAGAGTTGGACAGTGAGGAGGCTGGGGAGGAACATGGGCCAGTCCTGCAGTCTGGGGAAGGCCTGGACGAGGGCTCTGCGTCAGAGGCAGATATGGGGCCAGGGCCACCTGGGAGTTATGCACAGACTCTGGAGCCTACAGAGTCAGACAGCAGAAAGGCAGAGGAACAGGAGGAGCCTGTTCCTAGTGCGCGCATGCACAGAGCTGCCAGAAGGCACAAACAGTTAAAACAAAAGGGACGACTCGGGAGTAAGGCCTGGAGATGATTGGCCCCTCCCATAAGGCTTAAAAGAGGAGCAAAGGCATGTGCACACTTTGCAGGAAAGCAGCGTTGTTAATTCTGTTCCCAGTCGGCATCTCTGTTTGATTCTGGAATCCTTGTGGCTTTGCCAAGTAGGTCTTTGGCAGAGTGTCAAGGGTTGGTGATTATCCTGAAGGACTTCTCCCAAAGGATTTTTTGCAACTAATTGGGAGTCAGCTGTGAATGAACGTAATTCACAGCTGTTGCAATAAAATAGGTTTTCGGGACTACTCATTGTTTTAATGACTCAGGAAGCCTAGGTCACAACAGGCTAGATGAGGCCAAGAAGACAGAGGAGTTGACTACAGCAGGGCACTGGCTGCGTTCTTATGATTCAACTCATCATCAGCAAATGTCCCTGCTAATCCAGGAAAGCAACATAGTACAAGATAAACCTGTGCATTACATAGTAAACTGGTTTAGCCCAGGGCTAAAATTGCCACCATATAAGTATTCTCCAACATATTCTCCAACATCATATCTGATATATTGGAATCGCAAATCATAATTGGTTGACAATTTTAGCACTAACTTTTTTGAAGAGTGTCAGTTTGTGCCTTTGCAACCATATTTTTTAACAGCTTTGTTAATTAACAACAAAGTGTATACATAATACTGATAGCAGCAATGGAATAATGCTAGCAGTAATGCAATATAAGATAAACGACAAAATAAACTGCAAAAAAATAAACTACATCATGAACAAATGCAGACAATTTAATTGGATTAATTAAAAAAAAACCTTCCTTGTCCCTCAATTAAAAGACTACCTCAAATGTTGTAAAAATACACATTTTCTGCAATTCACTACTGCGAATGAGTTATATATTATCTTACCAATAGAAGAGAATATTCTGCAAGAAAACCACCACATTCAGAGAATACCAAGGATCTCAGATATTTTCTTTTCAGAATTATACAGGTTTTTTGACATGCCCCAATACAAAACTATCCCGTTTTTGATGCATTGGTAAATTCCAAAAATTGGAAATATGGGCTAAGAAGATGTACATGCTTGACATGTAACAGTGACAATCCTGTTGAAAATCCTGCATCTTTCATTTCCAAATGTCACAACTGACTAAGCCGAAGCCATGTGAATTAATGTTCCAGCTCCTTAATTGCGTTTCCAGCCACAAGTAGTCATAAACAACCCTTGCTAAATAGTGTCTGGGTTACCAGATATATATACAACAGTATTTTCTGGTGTATTTGTTACATTGTTAGATTAAAAGAAAGCTGTGATCACAATTTTCGTCACTGCATTGAAAGAACAGGACATCTGAGCTTGTTATTCTAAAAGTCATAAATAATTAATACTGGCTTAATCTACTTCAGTTTTATAAAA